TGAAGGATATAGAGGAAAAGGTGGGTATGGTTGGTTATGAATCTGGTTCGTTGGGATAAAAAAAGACGGTTCTAATTTAGTTTGTGGGTTGTCCGTTTCTTTCTCCTTATTTTTCTGTCTTTTTGTTCGCTACCTGATTAATAGTAATACACAAGGAGGAGTGCTATTATTAGTTGTGCGTGAGCGCGTGATTTTTTTTCAAATCATTGATCGCCCACACTCATTAACGGGGCTAAAAAACTTTCTCGTGCTCACGCGCAACTATTCTTGGTATAGAGAGGTTGTTGTTTTCCTAACCGTCATTTTCTGTATTTGGAATGTAAATCCAATTTTCTCTCCAAGGTCCAAGTTTTATGGTTGTTTGATCAGCATGCAGGAGAATTTGAACTAACAACCTCTTTCTATTTTCTGTGGTTGCCACCCAAGCCAAGGTCATTATCTTCCCAAATTCTTTTGCATGTTACCAATATTTTGGCACCTTCTTGTGAAACATTGCACATTGGGTTTATGGTGGCCCATAATCTTTCTTTGAAAAAATCGTACCTTGGACATGGGGTAAACGTGGATTTGAGCTTGTGAGGACAGAATGGCTTAAATATTCTAGCCCATCTCTTGCTTTTGAAAGTTTCCAACTTTGTTTTCACACTAGTCCCAAGATTTTTCTACTCTGCTTGATCGGAGATGGACAGATCAACGCTCTCCACACAAATTAAGAGGCCAGTTTAAGATTTTGAGTGTCCGTTAAATTGGGTAATAAGGACGCCTAATGATTGATTAATTTGGATTAAAAGTAATGGCAATTCATTAAGATGCATCCAATTCCAAACTTATATTCACTTCAAAATTCCGAAGCTTTCCAACCCAGGCGTGAAGTGCAAACCGCAAATCAAAAAGGGAAAAACCAGAAGTTAGAAGAATACTCACATTTGGGGTCCAGTGATGTAGACACCAAAGACATATTAAATCAGCATGCCCTGAACCTAAAGCAAGAGCTTTCCATTATCTGCCATCAAATGAATACGTACCATTACCATCACCAAGATTTTTATTTATATAAGAATAGGTCCACGGAACTAAATCATGAGCTTAATTTCCATTATCTTCCGTCAAATCAGCATCATCACCAAGATTTGATATAGGAACATCTTAGTTTTGACAAGGGAGGAGCTAATTTGAACTTTTTATGCACTTCTAAACTTTATAGAGTTATGTTAACATTAATTGTCTATCTGAATCTAAGTGTGTATGCATGTCATTAATGTAAGTGGATTTCACAACGCATCAATACTCACAGTCACTGGCTTTCGTATGTGCATGAATGACTGATGGCTAGCGTAGTGCTCGTTGCTTCCAATTTTTGCAACTCATCCAATTCGTATAATGCAATTGATTAGGGTTGAAAATTTTGCTTAACTGTACAGGGGTCCTAATCAGCAACCTAACAACAACTACGTAGAGTCGTAGACCCATGTCATTTCTTTGACCTGTTATAATTACTGGCCTCGGATTTTGTTGATTTCTCTCGATTCCTCCTCGTTTCCATCCTCCATAGTCAAGAGAACAATGCTTACTAAAGCGACGGCTGAGATTTCCTTTATATCACAATGATCTTATTGTCATCAAAATTGTCTTTCATGTGGGACCCAATGGTCATTTCAACTTTGTGTCTTTCTCCTCCATGCGTATACGACACTCTGCTGCACGGAAGCTTCACTAAACCAAATCCATTGCTGCGCAACATGTAGCATGTGCTATTTGTACCACGCCAAAACCAGTGCACCCATTCATCATCATCATCATCATCATCATCATCAAATTGCGGGGTCTATTAACTTGTGTAACATTTTGTTTATTGGATTAAATTGAAATTATGCTATTATTTTGTTCGTCGCAGTTTATAATATGTAACACTATTTTTATATGGGGCGTTGATATGAGTTGTCTCTATGACTAAACTCATGCAATTACATTTCCAGCATTTGATGGGCACATGACATAGACAGTCCAACCTCAACCACCTACAGGGACACCACATCCATTTGGATAAGCACACGTGTGCGGTTAGCCAATACTCGACTGAGTCAAATCCAAATGATGAATGGAAAAAAAAGTGTTATTTTCCATTTATTATTTTTGGTAAATTCTATGAGAATGAGAGGATTAAGTATATTGACGGTGGCCTCATCACACAGATAATACTCACCAGCTGCTACATAATCCAATCCAGGCTAATAAGTTACACAGCCTAAGGTGGTGTCTTCTAATTTAGCATATTATAATCCCAAGCTTAGCTTGAACTACAAGTGATCCCTCTCTCTATGTTAATCCCAGGACAAGATTTGATGAGGGACACGAGTCACATGATGACAAGTCACTTTAATTTATTCTCCATTTTCTAAGGTTTTATTTCCTTATTATTTTATAAGAAACAAAGACTAAAGGAATTGAAAAATGGAATTAAAATTGTGAACGGGTAAGATATAGCAGATAGCAGATACCGGACAGCAGCCTTGTTCCTAGTCTCATCATCATCATCAGCCACCTTTTACTTTGTCTGTTTCACAACTGAAACTGTAGCCTAACCTGTTTACAGGTGCCCAACTCTTCTTTTAGCTCTCTCTCTCTCTCTCTCTCTCTCTCTCTCTCTCTCTTCCATGTTTGCGCTTTTCTGCTTGGCTGGTTTGGAATCAGATTCAGAGGAAGACTCAAACATTGGCTGCTGAGTTACTGTTAATTCTAGTTTGTCCCTTTATGTCCTCAGGAGGACTTTGCTCTTCGATTTCTGGTGCAATTCTCTGTCTTTTCAATCTTTAAAGATTAAAACTTGTTTCTTGATGTTTGTTTTGCTGAATTTGATTTGGGTTCTTCGAATGTTGTTGTTGTAATTTTGGTTACATTTGCTGTTCTCTGCTCTGATAAGATGGCTTCTTCTGATTTTCAATGTATGTGGGTTTTCTCTGTTGTTATCTTTTTTTTTTAACATATCGGTTATAGTCATTTAATTCTTTCTGAATTTTCATTTGGGTAGCTGAGAACATGATCAGTACTTAATTGACCAATTTCACATAGCTAAAGAACTTAAGGGTAGAGTTTAGGGTTGAACAATTCTTGCTTTTTGGCCAGTTAGTCTATGCTTTAGACTTCCAAACTTTGACATTCATTGGTGGGTTGATATTTGATGATCATTATCTTCTGGGGGGCTACAAGTCAATATAGCAGGTCTACTTTCTTTCTTTCTTCTTTTTCCAAATGATCTTTGGCAAATTTGGTGGATTTGAGCTTGAACTTTAACTGCTTATCAAATTAGGAATATATTCCCTCCCTAAATTTCTTTGCAATAGGGTTTTTTGTTCCCACCTTAAGTTGTCCATTTATGCTCAAGATATTGTTACAACGTGATTTTCATCGTGATCCGGTATTGCCTGTGGCAAATGCTCCTCATACATGTGAAGGGAGTTTTGGCACTTCTTAAATGTCATTCACTTGCTTGTTTGTATATTGCACTAATTTGAGTGAGTCCCTTCCCAATTATCCAGGATGTGCTGCAACTAAAATTCATGACATCACTTTGGTGACCCTTTTTGTTTTGGTTTTTTCAACTGCAAAGTGTACTAATTTGTGATTTCTACCAACAGGTGTGTTATGCCATAAGCATATTGCAGTTCGCACTTGAAGAAGTTTTTTCCTTTTAAACATGACGGCTAATTCATCTTTTCCCCTCAAAGATCAGAGAGAAAAGCAAAAGTTTTTGATTGAGGTAATTTTCTGCACCTACATCTGCTACTACTAAATACTGTCACTTCATGCAGAAGACTCTTGTATTGTTTTTCTCTGCGAGTCTTGAAATTGTGGTCCTTTCAGGTTGCAAACACAGAAAATCAGTTGTGGTCACTGATCCATTCCAAAGGTCTATTGCATTCTGAGGTTAAGGACTTGTATCGCAAGGTGCGATCTACTTATGAGAATTTCATACTGAGTGATCGTGACCAGTTGGAACTTCAGGACATCGAGTATTCTTTGTGGAAGCTTCACTATAAGCGTATTGATGAGTTTCGTAAAAGAATAAAGGGAAGTTTTGTTAATGCAGAAAGCAAAAAATTGGCAGTGCCACAAAATGATAATCATGTAGAAGGATTTAAACTCTTTCTATCAGAAGCAATTGAATTCTACCAAAATTTGATTGTGAAAATTAGAAAACATAACAGGCTCCCAGAAGAGTCTGTGTTCTATAGAAAGGGAGGCAACCTTACCTTTGCAGAACAGAAGAAGATGCAGAAATGCCAATTTTTGTGCCATCGGTTTTTGGTATGTGTTGGGGATCTTGCTAGATACAAAGAACAATATGAAAAACCTGATGCTCAAAACCGAAATTGGTCAGTTGCAGCCACCAACTATTTGGAAGCAACAGTAATTTGGCCAGATAGTGGAAACCCACACAATCAGGTTCATTCATAACTTTTTCCTCATTAAACTATTTCTTCTCAGAAGAGTTTGCTTACGCGGAGAACTAAATTGCTTTATGATGTTTGCATGTTTGAATTAACTTATTTTAAACATTTCTAAGTTGGAAGTTACATGTGGGTTTGTTTGCAGTTAGCTGTATTGGCAATATATATTGGTGATGAATTCCTCGCTTTGTACCACTGCATAAGAAGTTTAGCTGTTAAAGAACCTTTCCCTGATGCCCAGGGTAACCTTATCCTACTGTTTGAAAGGGTAAAACCTGAAACATTACAAGAACCGCTATTGTTTTTGTCATTAATTTCATAACACCTTCTGATATTCATATTTTG